TTATAACTGCCCTTTGGCTATGTCTGCCGTTGTATTGGTTGGTAGAGCATATGTGTCGACCTCATGCGGGTGGTAGCTGGTGGGAGGATCTGAGGAGACTCTCAAGGCTGCGGCCGAAAGCCGGACCTCATTTCCTTGAGGTGAGCGGTAGACTCATGACACACTCTGCGGCTAGTAGCCGTGCTGATCATGCAATTGGTGGTGATGCCATACACTTACATCACGTCTGCAGGAGCGGCGGTCTGGCAGGTGGTGGAGCTCACGGCGGGTTTACGGCCAGTGTGCCTATTTGCCTTAACCGTGTGACGTACATTCACTGTGGCTGGATTCGTTCGCGTGTCCTGCGGACAGGAACCAAGCTTACGCGCCGATAGTTTAGGTAATTTCTTTTTACAGTGAAAATAATGATATTTTAAAAAAAAGTAAATAACATAAGCACTGCTTTATGGTTAGTTCAGTTAGTATGCAAAGTTTCATGATCTTATTTAAAGTATTTTATGAATAACAGCGGTTTATTGTTCAGTTTGGAGGTAACTTTGGATTTTTTTTTCTATCGAGAAAATTTTACGGAATCGTGTTTTCGTCTAACATAAACCTTAACATTAATCCTCAACTTTACCATATATTTATTTCAAAATTAATGCTGCAATACTTTCGGCATAACGGAGGATCTTGCTAAGCCATTTGAGGTTATATTTCCCCTTAATATCAATAGTTTTTAAATATTTTACAATATCTTTTGATGATACTTTATGAAACATAAAATTCTTTGTAAAAGCATTCACATTTTGCTTAAGAACTGATGCGGCGACGGCAGGAAAAGAATTCAGTGACTTAATGGTTAAGACGAGGCATGAGCCTAAACGCAAGTTTTATAATGCCTCAAAGTATATTATCCACTGCAGTAAACAAACCCAGAAAAATATATGATATTGTCCAGGATATATGCTAGTTAGATAGTGTGTTGAAAACATGATACCACTAATTTTATACGATAGAAAAAAAACACAAACATACATCTAAAAATTTCTTTTAACTAGTAAAAACCATACTAGTATACATGCAATCATTCAGATTTTTTGTCAGATTTTTATACATTCAACATATTAACGTTATAGTGTTTTAATTTTTTAGTCTTCTAATAGTTTTTTTTTTAAATCGCATATTCTTATTTCTGAAATAATACGTACGGATGTTTGCGTAAACGCCTGTGCAGTCACTGCCGGCCGAGGCCTGGTGCTGTAGAGACGTGTCGCTCTTTTTGCCGCAGTATTTACGTTAAGATTTTTTAAGGACGTCTTTACAAAATTGATATAGGTATAGAATCGAACTATTACATTGACATGAGTCACGCACACAAGTGTATGCACGGTTGGCTGCGGGAATCGTAGTCAAACAAAATTATTTTGATAATTTGAAAGATCGAATTTGTTTTTGATGTCTTACACCACAAAAATATACTTAGATACATAGAGTAATTAGACTTAGCTACGAAATACGAATACCTACTCTAGAGACTGCTTTGCACTGGAAGCCCTCTGCTGGCACTGAGAAGTTAGCTGTGAACTTTGGGCTGGTTTTGTCAGTTATGATAAGACCTTACCTCCGAACTTGGTGGAGTGACCTGAAAGTGAACTTCAGTAACGAATACTGGAACACCTGGACTAGTAGAACTAGGTGTGCCGAGTTTTGGCTCGTTTTGTTAGGTATGATGAGTCCTTACCTCCGGACTCGACGGAGTGACCTAAAGGTGTACTTTGGTAATCGTTATTGGAACTGGTCGCCGAGTACTACTAGGTGTGCCGGACCTTGCTTCCTCCGGCACCTCGCGACCTCCAGACTTGACCTGTAGGTCACTCCGTCAAGTCCGGAGGTAAGGGCTCGTCATACCTAACAAAACGAGTCCAAACTCGGCCCACCTAGTAGTACTCGGCGACCTGTTCCAATGCCGATTACCAAAGTACACCTTCAGGTCACTCCAACAAGTCCGGAGGTAAGGGCTCGTCATACCTAACAAAACGAGTCCAAACTCGGCCCACCTAGTAGTACTCGGCGACCTGTTCCAATGCCGATTACCAAAGTACACCTTCAGGTCACTCCAACAAGTCCGGAGGTAAGGGCTCGTCATACCTAACAAAACAAGTCCAAACTCGGCACACCTAGTAGTACTCGGCGACCTGTTCCAATACCGATTACTAAAGTACACCTTCAGGTCACTCCGTCAAGTCCGGAGGTAAGGGCTCGTCATACCTAACAAAACGAGACCAAACTCGGCACACCTGGTAGTACTCAGCGACCAGTTCCAATACCGATTACCAAAGTATACCTTCAGGTCACTCCGTCAAGTCCGGAGGTAAGGACTTATCATACCTAACAAAACGAGCCCAACCTCGGCACAGCTAGTAGTACTCAGCGATCTGTTCCAATGCCGATTGCCAAAGTACACCTTCAGGTCACTCCAACAAGTCCGGAGGTAAGGGCTCGTCATATCTAACAAAACGAGAGCAAACTCTGCACATCTGGTAGTATTCAGCGACCTGTTCCAATGCCGATTGCCAAAGTACACCTTCAGGTCACTCCATCAAATCCGGTGGTAAGGGCTCGTCATAACTAACAAAACGAGTCCAATCTCGGCACACCTAGTAGTACTCGGCGACCTGTTCCAATACCGATTACCAAAGTACACCTTCAGGGCACTCCGTCAAGTCCGGAGGTAAGGGCTCGTCATACCTAACAAAACGAGCCCAACCTCGGCACACCTAGTAGTATTCAGCAACCTGTTCCAATGGCGATTGCCAAAGTACACCTTCAGGTCACTCCATCAAGTCCGGAGGTAGGGGCTCGTCATACCTAACAAAACGAGACCAAACTCTGCACACCTGGTAGTACTCAGCGACCAGTTCCAATACCGATTACCAAAGTACACCTTCAGGCCACTCCGTCAAGTCCGGAGGTAAGGGCTCGTCATACCTAATAAAACGAGCTCAAACTCGGCACACCTAGTAGTACTCGGCGACCTATTCCAATGCCCATTACCAAAGTACACCTTCAGGTCACTCCATCAAGTCCGGAGGTAAGGGCTCGTCATACCTAACAAAAAGAGCCCAACCTCAGCACACCTAGTAGTACTCAGCGACCTGTTCCAATGCCGATTGCCAAAGTACACCTTCAGGTCACCCCATCAAGTCCGGAGGTAAGGACTCGTCATACCTAACAAAACGAGACCAAACACGGCACACTTAGTAGTACTCGGCGACCTGTTCCAATACCGATTACCAAAGTACACCGTCAGGTCACTCCATCAAGTCCGGAGGTAATTTTGAATGTTTATGTATGTATATAATAAATAATAATCTAAGTACCTGCTCATATCATAAAACTGAGTTTAAAAAAATATTGATAATATAAAATGTAGTATGATGTCCAGACTACCGATATTGTAAACAGTTTTGATATTAGTGAGTAGGTACTCAAAATATTATTACTATAATACCTAGTATAGTGTTGAGAACAGTAGACCTCACGGAAAAGTTTTTGTTTGGAGGTGAATTGTCTGCTTGCTTTGCGCATACTGTATTCGCGCGGCGCTCTCCGACAGCCGGTTGCGCTCCATACACTGCGGGACGCGCGGGTGAAAAACGAATTTGAAATCGTGCTAAGACCTCGTCTAAGATTGGAATATCTGTAAAATATTTTTCAAATACCATCGCAACGTCCTGATCTGATTTTGTTAATTTATTGTTAAAACTTAACTGGTAGTTTGAATTGCGAGAGTTGCGAAATTTTTGGTAGATTTTGAAAACAGTTCAAATCAGTCGATGACAACAGTCACATAAGTTCTTAAGACGCCTAAGCGATGAAAATAACTTGAGGTTTATACTACATGAGGTTATATTACGATAAAACAGGAGCAAAAATCCATGGACGGACAAGCTCACTGAAATTTCATGCTTATCACAGAGTACCTTTTCATTAGCTTGCTATTATTACTCTGTTGATTAAATAAACCAAAAGAAATTCAGAGGAGTTTTGGCGGGAATTTGATCATCGACGGATTATTGCTCCTATTTTATCGTTTAAATAGTCTTAAGGAGATTTTGATACATAAAAGTGATCCCATTTTGTGTATAACGTATCTACACATGAACTATTAGAGAAAACGACATCAAGTCGATCAAGTGCTTCGATGTTGACATTAAACCTCAAGTTATATAGATCGCTTAGGAACCTTAGAGTTACTGTCGTCGTCGAAATGTGACTTATCAGCATATTGTAAAGAAAAATTTGTTAACAACGAAGCTAACGAAGATCTCGAATTAAAATGAAGACATGGCTTAAAAAATAAGCATCCAAGCCAAAATCATAATGAAAAATGAAAAATTCATATGGCTCAAAGAACAAGCATTTAAGCCAAAAATATTGTTTAAAAAAGTCATGGACTAAAACAATTTCCTATTCAAAATATCGATGTTGCACATTATCGATGTTTTCTACATATGTATTTAAGTTAAAATTAGATGAATAAAAAATCGACATGTTGTGGTTTACGATAAATTATTAATGAAATAAAAGAGATTAATAAACATTGTAACTTCTTAGTTTAAAACAGTCTTTAAAAATTGGAAGAACTTAATAAATATCTACTTCATTTGTTCAGTCGAATAATTTTCGCTATTGATTGAAGAGATAGTAATTTTGACAACGAAGTACCCATAGAGGAAAGTAATATTTATCGTACAGAAGTACCTTTCAATCTGTCTCTCTGTTGATAAAGAGTTCAGCCATCTTTTGAAAATAACCATCGATTATGGGTTCATTGACATCGATGTTTTGAATTTTGATATTTGACATGCGGAAACATCTATGATTTAATTTTTAATATAGACGATCATGGAACATCCCTCATTCCCTTCAATTATCAATTCAATTAATGGAAATTGGAAATTTGAAAAGAAATTTGATGTGCAATATCACAGAGTACTTTTTAGAACAACTACAATATGAAGCAAAACAGCAATTTACAAATTATAGGACAAAATATTATTTTAGTGCCTTACAAAGAATACCATGTGCCTAAGTAAATGGCGTATTTGATTTCTTATTTCGCACTTTCAAACGTTTATTTATGATACTCTTCATAATTATTTTATATTTGTTTTAAGATACCATAACTGGATGAAATCCGAAGAATTACAAAAACTTACGGCATCAGAACCTTTAACGCTGGAAGAGGAATATAAAATGCAAAAATCTTGGCAAGAAGATGATGACAGTAATGATATTGAATTAACTTTATCTAGATGAAGTTAAAAATGTTGAAGTTAATTATCAATTACATTTTCAGAATGTACTTTTGTTATTCTGGATAAAAATGCATTATGTGAACAAAACAGTTCTGAGATTGGTTAGTATCATGGTATTTCTTTATAAATATTTTTCGAATACCTTTCTTTCTTTTGGTTATTGATTAGATTCGTGTGGAAATGTGGACAGGTCATCAGACCCATTGCCATTTTAGCCTTCTAACCCGTTGTCCTATATTGGCTACTCCGGTTTAACAGGGAATATCTATACATATATATATATATATATAGAATTAGTGTCTAGTAAGTCAAAATAACTGTCTTTTATTGGTCTCAGAGTTATTTGTATGCCATAAAGAGATGAATAAGTGACATGCTGTAAGACCACATCTCAGATCCTGATGTGATTCTGATTTGTTGATTCCTGATGTGACTGATAACATGCACTGGTTGTACTACCTTGTTTTCAAGTTTTGAGGTATACCTGATAAGAAGATGTGTTGTTATCTTTCAAATGATGACCAGCCAAGTTAATATGTCGATTGACCTCTAGGGTTGAAGTTTGATATATCTAGTAGACTAATTGTCCTAGGTTAACATACTCATTAACAATACTGTAATGTTAGTGCTCCTAACAACTACTGGCATAAGTGTGTAAGACATTTTTTTAAAAATTTTTAAATACTATAATAATAAATATAAATATATTCTTAATCACCTGTAAATTCCACTACTGAACATGGGCCACTCCCATTGCAGTTAACACTTTAATAGCCAAGCATTTTGTTATGTGCATTTCCCTGTTTGCCGACCATTTACGGCATTTTATTAAGTTTGATATAAAAAGAACTAAAAAAGTAATATATTTACTTCTTTTTGTATAATATGCTAAAATAACTTATTTATTTTTATAATAAAAAATAAAACAGTAAATTTATTTTTATTTTTAGGCACATGGAGCAAAATTGACTGTCACGACCCAGGGTCGTGATCGGCTGTCAAAGTGTTAAGATTTGTCTTAATTGTCCCACTTAGCAGGTGGATTGACAATTGCAGCACCATAATTTTGGCACTATTAAGACTGTTTTCCATCACTATTTTAAGTATTTTACGCCTGCCATAAATGAGTTAGTCATACCATCATAGGAAGCTAGGCGTATCCCACATTAGCCCCTCATGACACCTGCAGGACTAAATTGTTTGATGGATTCTTTTACTCCACTACCACATGGCAAATTGTTTTTAATGAACAATATGTTATAATCCCTTTTTGATATGTATGCCATTTGCTGTATATTCAAGCATGATGGTGGTAGGTCCTTATTAATATGGGAGGGCCATGTCCAGGTGTAGTTAGTAATGGGCTATAAGCCCATGAGAACTGTTAAAACTATTTTATTAACATTTACAGCTTAGTTTATATCCTACCTTGTAAATAAAATTTAATTGCTGCTTTTAGATGCTATGATTGGTGATACAAATATTTTCATAACAAATAAGGAGAAAATGCTTGGTGAAATTGAAATCATGATTGCAGAGAAAACAGCTAGAGGTAAAAAAAGAGGTTGGGAGGCAGTCATTTTAATGCTTCTTTATGGAATCCATCATATTAAAATAAATATGTTTGAAGCAAAAATTAACATTGGCAATACTGCAAGTATTTCTTTGTTTGAGAAATTAGGATTTGAAGAGAAGACAAGAAGTGAAATTTTTCAAGAAATAACAATGGAAAAAATAGTTGATGATAAATGGATCACAAGTCTTGAAACTCATTTTCTGTTGGAAATACAAACTTATTAATAAATCGTTCTTTAGATACCTATTTATTTTCTCAAAATCAAAATCATGTTTTTCTTTATCACTTAATTTGTGAATATCTATACGTGGTAGACCATGCTGCAGTTATATTAGTAGTATAGTTATAGCATGAATAGGTCGGCTCGACCAGGGAAGGACCACGCTCTCACAGAATACCAGCGTGAATTAGTAGCTTAATGCTGCTGTGTTTTGTATGGTGAGTGTAGAAAACCGGAGACCCTTTTTACTGGAAATGAGGCATTCCATCTTAGTCCTCACGGGTGACAACGCATCTGCATTTTGTTTTGTAATCGACGATAGATGTAGATGTCTATGGGCCACAGCAACCACTTACCATCAGATGGACTGTGTGCTAGTTTGTCACCTTATCCTATAAAAAAAAATGACGGTATGAAAAATTCATATAATTCCCTCACAATTAACACACAAGCACAGTATTCATCAAGGGTAGCAGACAGAGAAAATATCATTCCTATTATATATCTCCTGTTGTCAGTTTCATGTTTGCAGGCTGAAATATTATAAATAATTATTAATATTGGGTCCTTACATATGAAATTAGTGTTTTGTTGTACAGACCACTTTGATCTGAAATATCTCCTCTTTGCTTTTGATTTTTTTGATTTGATTCATTAGCTGGTACATTTGAGTTTTGAAAACAGTCATTCATTTGTGTTTTCCTCATTATTTTTTTCCTTGGCGTCGCTTATTACCGCACAATGGTTCGTTGTTGCGGATTCTGTCGCTGATGTGGTACTTCAGGGTATGGAACTTTATATTCCTTTCTCTGTGGTGCCTATTGGGGGCAAATCTCAGCCATGGTTTGGTCGCTCCTGTAAAATAGCATCATGCTATACCAAGCCTGGGCTGACGCATCAACGTCGCGGGATGTAAACACCAGCGCTCTAAAAAAGAAGTATAATTCCGCCTCTAGATCCTTCAAAAGAGTCATTGCCAAGGCAAAGTCAGAGCACATAGGCAGAATTGGCGAGAAACTAGTTCGCCTTCCTTCTGGAACCCGTGCATTCTGGTCTCTCGCCAAGGCTGTCCAGAGGAATTACTGTCAGCCATCTCTTCCATCTCTGCACAGGGAGGACGACTCACTGGCCCATACCGCAAAGGAGAAAGCCGATCTGCTAGGCTCTTTCTTTGCGTCCAACTCGACTCTCGATGACGGGGGGAGTACGCCGCCGACTATCACGCGGTGTGAGTGCTCCATGCCGGAAGTGCAGTTCACACAGCGCTCGGTTCGCAAAGCACTTCTCTCCCCGGACATCCACAAGTCGAGTGGGGCTGACGGAATCCCCCCCAATTGTGCTGAGGAAGTGTGCTCCAGAGTTGGCACCGGTTTTAACGCGTCTTTTCCGGTACTCCTACTCCCTAGGCGTAGTCCCAAAACCATGGAAGACTGCTTTCGTCGATCGATCCCTAAAAAAGGCGACCGCTCAGACCCGTCCATCCACCGGCCTATCGCCATCACCTCCTTGCTCCCCAAAATAATGGAGTCTATTGTTAACTGCCAGCTCATGAGGTACCTTGAGGATCACCAGCTGATTAGTGATCGCCAATACGGTTTTCGCCGTGGTCGGTCAGCTGGTGATCTTCTGGTCTACCTAACTCACAGATGGGCGGTGGCAGTAGAGTCCACGGGGGAGGCATTGGCCGTTAGTTTGGACATTGCGAAGGCCTTCGATCGGGTTTGGCACAAAGCGCTTTTTTCGAAGCTCCCTTCTTATGGGCTTCCCGAGAAATTGTGCGGTTGGATCACCAGCTTTCTTGCAGATCGGAGCATCAAGGTCGTTATAGACGGTGCAAGCTCCGATTACAAGCCTATTAATGCTGGTGTTCCACAAGGCTGCGTGTTATCGCCAACGCTGTTTCTTATGCATATCAATGGTATGTTGCAAACCCGTAACATTCATTGCTATGCAGATGACAGCATTGGTGATGCTCTATACACCGGCCGTGCCAATATTTCTCGGGAAAACGTCTCCGAGTACCGGGACAAACTTGTGTCTAAAGTCGAGTCTCTGCTGGACAGAGTCTCGGATTGGGGGCGACTAAATCTAGTCCAGTTTAACCCACAGAAGTCAAGTTTGCGCGTTAACCGCTAAAAAGAACCCCTTTGTCGTATCTCCTCGGTTTCAAGGCGCTCCCCTTGTTGCCTCAGCCAGTATCGGAATCCTCGGCGTCGACATATCGAGTGACGTGCAGTTTCGTGGTCATTTGGAAGAGAAGGCCAAATTGGCCTCTAAAAAGCTGCGTGTTAGGCAGAGCGGGACAGTATTTCATGCCGGCACACCGCCTGCGACTTTACAAGGCGCAGGTTCGGCCGCACATGGAATACTGTTCCCATCTCTGGGCTGGGGCTCCCCAGTAACAGCTCCTTCCACTTGACCGCATCCAGTGCAAAGCGGCTCGAATCGTCGTCAACCGAGTGCCTTCCGATCGGCTCGATTCACTGGCGCTGCAAAGAGATGTTGCATCTCTGCATTTTCTTTCGCATATACCATGGAGACTGCTGAAGAGAGCCGCCAAATTTCGTGAACGCACTACGCGGCAAACGTCCCAATACCATCCACACCATCTGGATGCTTGGCGGTCCACCACTGTACGTTTCCAAAGGAGTTTTCTTCCGCGTACGACCTCTCTGTGGAATAGTTTACCACCAGCGATTTTTCCGGACCGATACGATCTGGGGGCCTTCAAGAAAAGAGCTTACTCCTTTCTAAAGGGCCGGCAACGAACCTTCAATTCCCTTGGTGTTGCGATTGATCATGGGCGGCAGTAGTCACTTAACATCAGGTGCATGCTCGTTTGCCCCCTCTTCTATAAAAAAAAAACATGAAATATCAGTATATTTACGAGTACGAGTTCTGCAATGGCACCAGTGCTGCAGAAACAGCTCGAAGGGTTGATGATGTGTACGGCACTGGTGTCGCAAACGAATGTTTTTGGTTTCAACGTTTTCGTTCTGGAAATGTCGACCTTCAGAACCAACCCCGTGGACGGCCGGAGACTGAAATAGAAAATGAAGAATAAAAGGCTATTGTGGAAGCGGATCCATCACAAAGCACTTCAGAGATAGCTGCAAGCTTCGGGGTATGTGACAAAACGCCTACAAATGTCTCTAGCATTCATGCAACAAAGATTAATCTATAAACTATTGCGTTAAGAAATATTTTATAAAAACGCAAAATCTCAGGAGGCGTAGCCACTCGGTCCACTAATTAAAGAGAATCTATATCATTCTCTGTTTTTCGCAAGCCAAATATTAAATAAAAATTATCGATACAAAATAGTTGTGTCACGTAACTGACTCACATTCGACTCCTGCGGCCATGTTCTAGGAAATTTACGTCAACCCAACAATTTTGTTTATTACCCATACTATAAATCCATCGCTGATTTTAGCTGTCGCACTCGTAGATATAAACTAGCTTAGGAATCAATGGATATTGAAATGTGAAAACAATTAAAATTTCGGAGACAATCGTAGTACTGGAGGTGGATAATTTTATTTAAGTACCGTGAAACCTTACAACTTTGCCCTTGGGGGACAACTTTGCCCAAACACGAAAATTAACTAAAACTACCCATAGAAATTTAATTTTAACACGGGGCAACTTTGTATGGCACCTAGAGAAAACTAGAACATATGTTTGGCAACACTGACTACTACAACCGCAGCTAACTACATTCAGTCATCTGTCAGCAACCTTCAAAGGGACAGTGTCGAAGGTGGTGCAAAAACATTGTTGCAGTTTTGCATCCCGCATTAGAAACGCTGCGCAGGGAAGATTCATTATTATTTACGTTTAGGGCATTAATTGTTGCTGCTTTTAATCATGGTCTCTTTCTTACAACTGTCTTAGTTAGCGAGAAATTTGTGTGGGCAATGTTGTAAGCAATTTTATAGACTGAGGTCGACAACATTGCCCAGCTCAAAAATGTTAATAGGGTTGACACTATTGAAATAAAATAAGGAAACATGTACCTAGGCATAATAAATAATATACTTAATAAATTAAATAAATGTATATAGGTACATCAAAAAAAAAACAATATAATACTATACTATAATACTACCTATATAATATAACTACTGTTCACTGAGAACTAAACTACTGTTCTGATAACTATATAGGTAACTAGATGCTGTTTTATATATATTTTAAATATAATAAATAGGTATATATATTTGTCTGGAATTTTTGTCAGAAACCGCTAGTTTCCCAAAAGAGAAAGCTTAAATATTCTCAGTTTCAGGCTAAAGTTTTTTAATAAGATTTATGCGTCATTTCGATTGCAAAAAAAAAATAAGTCTAAAAGAGAATTACGATTTTAGACATTAACGATCGCAGACAAAAATGGCTGACAAAATGGATTGGTACGCATAATAGGTGAACTACGTACATCAGTGGTAACAAAGTCGGTATAAGCTGGCCTCGTATTATATTAAATAAGTAAACTCGTGAGGTGTATAGATTTTTCTGATGAGAAGTGTATGTACTTATACCTATAATTATGAGCTAGAATCGTAAGGGTAACATCAAAGACTGTTAGTAAGTAGTTTTTTCAATTTCAAGAAGTTAGTTAATTTGTCAATTTCAGAAGGTAATTCTTGAACTAAGCACTATAAGGATAATGTTGTAGGCTGTTATATGTTAATTTTGGTATTTTTTGTTCTAGAAGAGATATCTTGTTATTTTTTTTTTGTATTAGGAGCGATAA